TCATGTTTATTTATCACATCTCATCATATTGAACAAAACAATATATTGTTCCTTTAGTAAACTAACTGAAGTACAGTAGAGAATGATGTGGTAGTACTGGATATACATACATATCAATGGATGATAAGAAAGTTCCTAAATCATTTTGAAATATTTTCTCTCTTTAAAAGAAAGTTAATGCTTCTCCATGTCATTGCAATCTTTTATTAGCGTTTTAAGGAGGCTTACAAACAACGCTTATAATTGAACATGTAACTACAAACATTGAACTATTTTATATCTTGTTTCTTTTTCTTAAATAAAAATACTTACACTAGTGCTAAGGGGTTATCATGTTGTGCCTTCAGCTCCGTGCATTTGATCTAGTTATTTTCAATGTTAAGTTAGCACACTACACTGACAATGTTGTGCTCCTGATGTTGTGGAGTTGTGCTTGACGTTGCTGATGCTGTATCATTTGTTAATAATGTTGCTGACGTTCTGCTGTTTGTCAATGTTGTTGATTATTAGTCATATTGTTAGTGTTTCTGATTACCTTTTCAGCTTTATAAGCTTGGCTGAGGCTCTTCTGGTGCAGTGGTAGTGTCCCTACCTCTGAGCCAGGAGACCCGGGTTCAAGTCCCACTTACTCTGGAGGTGTTTAATAACATCTCTAAGCAGGATGATTACTGTATATATATATAAAGCACATACATATAAGCTCTGGTGTAGATCAACAATGGGCTCCGTTCTTTCTCATCTACTCACCAGTTTCAACTTTGATTATTGTAGTATCTCAGAGTCCTGGCTTCACCAACAATATTTGTTGAGCTCCAGATTTTCAGGCAACTCATGCAGGGATTTGGCATGCTTATTGACTTCACCCTACCTGTGCATTAGTGAGTTCTTGTCTGTCTTTTCCCCTGATCACTTGAACCATGTATGGCAGAGTTGTCTTGTACTTTCTGCCATTCAATAGATGTGCAAGCGATCATGTCAACCTTGAGAGCTGTAGCTCAGAATGAAACAGGAAAAGGTTTGGATCTTTCTTTGTCCCTTGGCAACTGTGTTTCTGATATGGGGACAGATGAGCTGGAACATCTTCTAGCATCGTTTCTGCTTCTCATTTATATTTTAGAATAAAAATGTAGTAACAGGAGTAGGCCATTTAGCCCATCGAGCCTACTCCACCCTTTAATATGATCATGGCAGTTCAAACATTTCAATGCCTGTTCAGGGAAAAAATTCCCAGAAATCTATCAATCTCTACTTTAAATATATTCAAAGAATGAGCTTCCACACTACTCTGGCGTAGAGAATTGCAAAGATTCACAGTCTTTTAAGTAAAACATTCTCCTCATTTCATTCCAGGCACCCCCCTTATTTTTACATTGTACCCCTGGTTCTAGACTTCTCAACCATGAAAAACGTCTTCCCTGCATCTACTGACAAGTACACCTAGATTCCTTTTGTATATCTACACTTTTCAAACTCTTACTGTTTAAGAAATACACTGCACATCTGTCCTTCCTACCAAAATGATAATCTCACATTTTTTTCCATATTATAGTTCATCTGCAATGACCTTGCCCACTCACTAAGCTTGTCCAAATCCTCTTGAGTCCTCTTTATGTCTTGCTCACTGCACATGTTTCCACTTAGCTTTGTATCATATGCGAATTTGGAAATATTACATTTGGTCTCCACATCCCAATCATTGATATATATTGTGAACAAGTACTGATCCTTGTGGTACAGCACTAGTCACAGCCTGTCAATAGGAGAAAGACCTATTTATTCTCACCTCTGTTTTCTGTCTGTTAGCCAATTCTTGATCCACGTCAATACGTTACCTTTTCTAACCTGCCTTCTGTGGAGGAATTTATCATAATCCTGAAAATCTAAGTACACAATGTGTATTGACTCACCTTTACCAATTATGTCAGAAAAATCCTAACATAATTCCAACAAGTTCATCAAAATGATATCCCATTTGCAAATGCATGTTGACTATGCCTAATCATTATCAATCTACTTATCCCATCCTTAAAAATAGATTCTAGCACTTTTCCTACTACTAATGTAGGGCTAAGCAGTCTGTAGTTCCCTGTTTTCTTTGTTGCTCCCTTTTTAAGTAGTGGGGTGACATTTGTTAGATTCTAACATACAAGAGTCTTTCCAGAACCGATAGAATTTTGGAAGATCACCAATTCATTGACTATAAATATAGCCACCATCTTTATCACTCTGGAATGTAGAATTTAACTTGCAACCCATTAAGTTCACCAGTATAATCTTCGTACTAATGTTAATCTCTTTCAACTCCTCATCTCCCTAGCCACTTAGATCTCTAATTCTGGGAGATTTTTTTGTATCTGCCTCAATGAAGTACCCTAGCAGTGATAGAAGCAAGTTTTGTACAACTCTAACATAACCTCCTTGCCACGAGGCAAGTGTCCTGTATGCCTTCTTAACTGTCCTATTAAACTGTCCTCCCACCTTCAGGGATCTGTGGACAAGCACCCTCTGTTCCTCTGAGCTCTCTATTGTCCTACCATTCATTGAGTACTGTCTTATCTTGTTACTTGCTCCAAAGTGCATCGTCTCAAACTTTTCAGGGTTAAATTCCATCTGCCACTGATCTGCCGATCTGACCAAATCACCTATATTCTCCTGTAACCTAAGAGTTTCTTCATTACTCTCAACCACCCTGCCAATTTTTGTGCCGTCCACAAACTCACTTACCAACACTGTCCCTGCCCACCCACCCATCCCCCACTTCCTCCACATTCTCATTGTCTATACACCATGAACAATGAGGGACCTAGCACTGAACCAAGTTTTACACCACTGGACATCGGCTTCCGTCACACAAATAGCCTTCTATCACCAGCCTCCTGCCTCTTACTACTAATGCAATTTTGAATCCAACTTGCCAAGTTACCCTGGATCCCATGTGCTTTTACCTTCTTTAGTAGTCTCCCATGTCAGACCTTGTAAAAGTTTTTGCTGAAATTATATAAACTATCCTCATCTACACACCTAAAACCTCCTCAAAATTCTGTCAAATTTGTTAGGCATGACCTCCCTCTGAAAAAGCCATGCTGACTATCCCTGACCAAATCTTGTTTCTCCACGTGAAGATTAATTCTCTTCTCAGTATTCTGGACTTCAACTCCAAAATGGAAGATTCCATCCTATTACTCTGAAACCTCAAGAGCAATCTCTGCAGTCGTGCTGGTGATTTGCGTAGATTTTTCTTGTGGAAATGCTGCAGTGGACAATGATAACACTATTATAAGCTTACTCCTACAGATATATTGTATATGCATATATGGAATTTCTCACCTCCATGCATGATTGTCTAAAGTTCTCTTTCTATGTTGGAATATCTGGTCTAAGCAGATGTTAGAGCTTTGGATATAGATGCAATTGGCTTTCTACGTTATACTAGTGCTGCTACCAGTCCTTTTGGGGGAGTATCTACTTGCAGAGACACTGGTATTTATGATAATCCAGGATGTTTCATGGTACCTGTTAGAGAGATTGGCTTTCAATTCCAGACTTTTATTAATTACGACCTTTTCCTGTGCTGTCCCTGGGGCATTGTCCTGAGCCTGTAGATCATTAGCTCAGTGACATTACCACGATATCCCCTCATTAATATGAGATAATGAAGAAATATAAGCAAAGGACATTTTGCTTTTAGAGAGCTTTCCACTAAGCTCCCATACCAAATAAACACAGGGTGGCTGCAGTGCAACTCACCCAACTTAATAGGGAGGCCCCTTAAATATGAGTGAACCTTGTGGTCAGCTTGTTTGCAAGATCTCCATGCTCCCTCTGCTGGCTGCCTGCATTGGGGCATTATAGTAAACAGCCCAGGGACATTGCAGCCCTCAGTCCCATTTCTGAGCTATCAAGGGATCGTGTGCTTGCCATCATGCAACCTACTCAAATGTGTGATAAAAAGATACCTGAAAAATGGAAAGGCAGCAAATTGTAATAACTGCTTTCTAAAACAGTTACGTTCACCAAAACTACAAACAGCACTTCTTTCATATTGTGATGCCCTTTCAGAAAAGGAGGCTAATAACTGAAATTCAACCAAATTCCATTTGGTTGATTGCTTAGATCTGAATTTCAAGACTAATATGCTATTTCACTGTTTTGGCAGAATTGGCAGATTTTAAACAGCAAAGGGAATAAAATATAGGATCAGTTAGCATAACACAGTATTCTGTTGTCAGATGCCATTGCCTCACTTAGAAAAAATGTTTAATATAAATTAGAGATAGTAGGAACTGCAGATGCTGGTGAATCCGAGACAACAAGGTGCAGGGCTGGATGAACACAGCAGGTCAAGCAGCATCATAGGAGCAGAGAGGCTC